TACGAGTCGTAATTATTATATACAAAATATTAAAAATCAAATACAAGTGCTCATGCTTATTAGATTACCAAGCTTACCTTGTGATAAATACATGTTAAACACATTTTTGGTTCTAATATCCAATAAACCTGGGATTCTTGCGATAATTCGGTAACTCAGGCGTGGCGTAGCTTCAGACATCGTTTCGTGACAGATGACAGCTGAAACTGACATTTAAATACACAGCTTTGTCAATAAATAATACGTACACATGTACATGTTTTATGAATTTCAAAGAAGATCCAAAAGGCATTGCACCATATAACATATAATATGTACACAACAACATTTCTATTGTTTTTTTTTCTATTGCTTATAGTATTGTCTTTTATTGACATAACCTTTACACATTTAAGAAAACACTTTTTTACCGGATTAAAGTTATGTACCTATTATTATAAATTTACAATTATTTTATATAATTTTAAATTTAACCGACGTTTCGCGTGCCAGCGTGTGTGCTTACTTAAAAATCTTACTAAAAATATTACTAACTTAAAACCTATTAGACAAATTACTATTTACTCATGTTGTTTTACGTGGCTGTACGCCACTGAATTTAAAATGAGTTGACGCACTAGCGCAGTTAGCGCAATTGCGCCGCGGAGCGCGAATATTTTTTAAGGAAAAATACAAACCCAGTAATGACCCACTTCCATAATGCAATGATGAGAGAGAGTAGTTGTAACTTTTAAATAAAAAGGTCTCAAAATTATTAGTTCATTTAGTTTTAGTTATTATTGTTATTTGTATTTTATTTTTTATCTTTTTATTTTAGTTATTATTAATTTTTTGTTTTTATTTTGTGGTTGTTTGTTTATTTTTTTCCTTTGATATGTATTTTTTTGTGATGTAATATTTTCTTGTATTTTTTAGGCATACAAATTGTTTTAGAACGTATAAATAACTGAATAAATAAATTTAGAAGTTACTACTCTAGTTTTTCTTAATCAAAGCATAATACGTCATTCAAAAGTCCATGAAATAAGATTTACCTTCTTCAGTTGCGTGAGTTGAACCATCTATTTTTCATCGAAAGCGATCCTTGCACTTCCAAGAAGCAATATAATTTGTGCATTTTAAGTTATTAAACCCTCTCGTATGCCAATTTTCCGTTCCGCTGGCTTCGTAAACGATCCCAAATCTTTTGACTACTGAAAAAATCTCAACGCGTGAGTTTAAACCCTAATTATCTATAGCTGTGATTTCAACTGTTAACTCATTGTTATACTAAACGACAGAATGCCATATTGTCCTTAAATCCCGAAAGTAAGTACCTACTTGAATTTAAAATTGCGCTGTATTCATAATTTAAACAAATTGCCTTGGGTTATGTTGTACTGTTTAAGAAACTTGTGGGTGGTAATTTTGTATTATTAGTAATGCCTTTTTAATAATAAATTAAAATGGATTTTTAGAAAGGAAATCTTTTTTGTCGATTATGGTATCGGTTGAAACCACGGGTTTCGGGGCTATTTATATTTGAATATTGGTCTCCGGCCCTTAGTAATGATGATTTCGTGAAACCAATTGACCTATGCATGAATTTTCATGTACAATATTACACTCAATATGATAAGCTATGCCTGTCTTTGTTCCTGTCCGACACTTCTTAGTAATTATTGCACATGGTGTTAAACGGTGATCGTGGGTTTGATTATCGGAAACAACAATATACTGGGGCAAAAGCTACTACTAAGCTTTATGATTTAAAATTCGTAAGATTTTCCGAATATAACGATACAAAATCTGTTCACTAAAGTTAAATTCCATACTAATCGACGCGTGTGATGCGATATGCATAATATCGCATTTAAAATAATTAATTAAGCGCGACTTGGACGGATGGACAAAACAACAAGTAGTTTAAGTTTTAATCATTTTTTGTTAACGTTTTCGTGCACCGTATCGACAACTTCATCGGTTTATACGAACATTAATAATCTATAGCGACATTTGATTTCCGTTCAGTGGACTATCGATTTTTTATTCGATCAGCAATCGAGTAGCGAGCGAGTGAAGGAATGTTATCTTTAACGCGTGGTAAATGCCTTTACCGAGGGATTCTGATATATTACAAGATAATAACTTTTCTTTAAACCATGTACCGGGCTTTCAATTTCTATAGTGTACATACCCTTAACTCGCCATTGTTTATCTTCTAGTATTTTTTCAAAACTGGAGCCAAATAACACACGTCCGAAATAAATGGGTATCTTTGGAGGAGACCGTTACCCAATGTGAAAAATAATATCATATATAATAAAATCTATGTAAAGTAATTTAACTGAAATAGAATCAGATAAAATATTATAAAAGAATATTATTAGTAATGTATAGGTAATAGAGACTAAGTTAAGTAAGGAAATAAAGAATCAAGGAATTATATGTTTTATTTTATTTATTTATTATACATATATTAAAAATTAACAAGGGCATGCGCTTGCGCATGAACTATACTTGTACCAATTAACATGATTTTTATTCTTTCATACGACCCTTATTTTTCTCTCTTAATAAAATACATACATATATAAAAAACATTTTCGACCTTTATTAAAACCTTTTAGTTAAAAATTCAATTTGGCATTCTAGGTAGCAAAGTGGAGTTGCAAAGAATAAAAGTAAATAAAAAATGTGTCTGGTCATTTAAATAACAGCGAGAAAGAACTACATTAAGTTATAAAATCTTTTGTTTAATAGTCTGTAATTGGACAGATAACATAATTTTTATAGTCATTGTCTCGACCGCCGACTATATTCACTACTACGAAAACTCGAAAGCGTTCTATTGATTAAGGGTTTATTCATAATACATTTTTTACAGTTAAATTAGTTAAAGAAACGTCACGATAGTTTTATTGACTACTTACTATAACTATTATAGAAATGGGTCCGATATATTTATTTATTTTTAGGTATTATTTATCGGATATTCTAAAATTATTAATAATAATTATTCTAATTGCTAATTATTAATAATATTTCTGCTGAGAAAAATTATGTTCAATTTGGCATATCCGTATGATGGTAGTAATGTAACATTCATAGCATACGTATATAACATTAGCACAAGATAATAATAATATATTTATTTAACAAAAATACATGTTTTCTCTATGTTGCTAGTCCCCACTATCGGGACATATATATAAGTTGTGGATGACAAGATGCACCTATATATGTAATGGTATCAAACGGTAAATTTTCTTTATACAACAAAAAAATAATGAGTATCGCAATACCGCGAGAAAATGCTGCCAGCGTAAAAGGTACACTGCCACATTTTAAATTTGTTTTAATTTTCTATTTATCAATATTTAATTATTATTATTATTCCTATGTAGGTTAAGAATGTTGTAAATACTATATCTGTATATTTACAAGTTAAGTTCCATTAAATGTTGAATTGAAAATAAAAAAAAACCTAAATAAAAGATAGATCTTTATAGTAGGTACTTCAAACAACATCATACAAGTACATAAGTAAGCTTTGCATTAAACATTAATATTTTCTATTAAGCAAGCTTTAACCAGTACTATTTACAAATCGAATTCGTATTTAAGAACCTACCAATAGTAACGCTCCTCTAAGGTTTTAATAAATAAATCTCGAAGCTGCTGTTTTTTAACTTTTTAATAATAACGCTATAATTATCTGCGTTGGCATCGAAAACAAACCACAATTTGTGGTCAGCCTTAATGGTTTATGGGTCAATTATAGGCGTCATAATAATAATGTTGAGGTCTTTAGGCTAGTAATACACTTGCCGTGATATTCATTAGTTGTTATAGCCCTTTTAAATTAGGTGGTCTGGATGATTCATTTGAATTGTTTGCGGATGCGAATATAAACCTATTCAACATAAAATACCTTCATTATGTTGGTTATCGTGAAATTAAATATATTAATTAACCATTAAGGGGAACTTAAAACTCTCGTAGGAACATGCCTGAACTAAACTACGAGAAATAATAATTATTGAAGCCGTTTTAGGCTCGGTTTTTATAAAAAAAGTATTGGTTAAGTTTTTTTAAATATTACTATTAAAAATTATTAATTATTAATAATTAAAAATTGTGTTCTCAACAAAATCCACTTAACTTTAACTACCTCCTACAAAATCCATTTAGAATCACAATTACATATTAAACAGGGAAGATTGACATGATGACAAAACGTACAATTGGCGCCAAAACCTTGTCCATGTCATAGACCTCAGTTTACCGCGCATGCGCTGCCCTCATGATCCAATTTCTAAATATAAATGATTGAAAATTTTACATATTTAAAAAAAATATACTATACAAATAATACATACATTATTAGTAGATTATATATAAGGTCTAGTTACTGGATTATATCGTATTTTACATTACTAAAATTTAGAAGAATTCTAAGAAATTATACAATTTTTACAATAATTATCTATAAATATTATTTCAAATTATTTTAATTACATTATACAAGTAATTGTTAGTGGGTCGGCAAAATGGCAGGACCAAAATTTTTAAATAGCGCCATCTAGATATACTGTAGACAACTTTAAGAATCTGTGCAACAAACCGGTAAAGCGACAGCATAGTGATAACATCTTGTATGGGAAGAAGTAAAACAGATTTACGACAGATGGCGCTGTAGCAAACTTATAGTTTTATATTGTATTAAACGTTCTTTAACAATTTATCACAATAAAATTAGAATTGCATGTTACGTCAAAAACGTAGTCTAAATATGTCAGTAAAATGTTTTAGTTACAAACGGTTTAGTGCGCTTAAACCATCGATTCCGTTTCTTAATTTTCTAAATAACTTATCTCATATATCACAGACTGTCAAAGATCTTACAACAAAAGATTCCTTCACGTATGGTTCGTTCTATATCTTATAATTTATGGTATTTTGTTAATTCGCGACTTTAGGCCTATGTTATGTGTTATAAAGAGTCATTTGTTTAATAGTTATTTACACCTAAAAGTCTCAATCTCTTCAACGCACGTCTCACATTTAACAGCACAGCAGTCCACCATCTTACATTTACATTTAGTGCTCACGAATTTCTTAGCTACGCTATACCCTCGCCCACAGCATAAGGTTGCACAATTGTGTCTGTCTTTACAGACCCTACCCTTAGTACTAACACAGAGATTTGGAGTCTTTTGCAAATACACTAAGTTCTTTCTTTCCTTCTGCATCTTTCTTCTAACCTTTAGCGTGATAGCGCGTTTAGTTGTGAAATTAACAAACTTCTTTTTAACAGCGTGATGGTAATGCTTCTTCAACAACCCCATAGCTGAGTTAAAAGGACCAAGTCTCCTCCAGCATGTCTTCGTTGTGCACGAACCAGAGAACCCGTGGCACTTGCAGACTTCCTTCAATTGCTCTCCTATAGAATCCATACCGATATTTATATCCTGCTTGAGGATTTCTCCAATTTGATCGGTCCCAGCGTGTTTCATGTCAAAAAAGTTTTTAGTTAACCGTTTTCCGTATTTAAAATCGTCGCCACAGTCTTTTGTTTCCCAGGAGGAGTTTTTGGAACGTCCCAAACAGGAGCAGCGGGCTAGTTCTCCTGAAGCACATCCTCTGGATATACCATGAGTCATAGAAGCTGACATTAAAGCGTATACAAATGCAGTTTCCCTATAAATCTTCTTGAAAATACTCTTTCTCGGCTTATTGAAGTATAGGGAGCAATTCCATCGATCGAATTGAAATGTGTCGTTGCAAGCTTTGATTGCTTGATTCTTGGCTCTTTGGATAATTTTTGGCAAGCTAGGTTCTTTCTTACACATTTTCGCCTGTTTCATTGATGAAACGAAAACTTTGCATGTTCCAGGATATATTGTTTCAGTTCTGTCCATGAATAGGGCTTCAATTGTTTTCTGCAAGATCGGCTTTGTTCTGAAATATTAATTTGAAGTTTATGTTGCAAAGTTAAATTTCGAGTACACAAAACGCGACAAGTTCTTGTACTTAAAGTTCAGTAGTTTGGTAATCCCTTGAGATTGGAAAATGCCAGATGACGGCAAATTTTTATATAGATAAATGTCACAACTTTTAAGGAACATCTACGAGTCTAACTGATGCTATAAATATAAAATTTAGGTGTAAGTAGGGAAAATCACACTCACCCTTCAACATTCCGTAAGGCAAAACCAGATACCGTGCAATACACCAACACAGTAATAACACTAGATGTTAACATGATTGCCAATCATGATTATACTTTAAATGATACCGTTCTTGTAAGCGATTAGTAATGAACTCATAGCAAGACAAAGGTGTAACCGACTTATGGGGTGGGCACCTCCAAAAAAGGCTTTGTAAACTTCGAAATCATTAAGTACATACATTAGTTAAGTATAACGGATAACGATGTAATATTTAAATATCACCTTTCCTGTTATATAATAGGTTCATTTAGTTAGGTAATGAAAAAGTGATGAATTATGAATGAAATTGTAGTGCGTGCTTGTCTTACGGATTAGGATTGGCATGTTGGAAGCACATTGGAATTTCCTAGCAGTTCAATTTAGACTCGAAATCATTTTGCACAAAAACTTTTCAATTTGGGTGGTTTTTTGACCTGCAATTGGCAATTTTCTTATCGATTACGATGTCTCTGGACGTCGCTTCGCAGCGGGCGTTTTACCTTTCTAAGTATGAACAAATGATTTATCATAAAGAGTATTATTAATGTATACAAACAAATATAACATTTTTGATACTTACGTGACCCTGTGTGTGCTTTTAATTTGTCTTCATTCCTAAAGAACAGATGATTTTAATTGTCGGATTTTATTGACCAGCGCTATTCTCTACCTATATGCAAGAAAATAAAGAGATAAAACAAAATAAGAAATCGAACTTGAGATAACACGCAACGTGATTAAATCAATACCATAATTTTCTATAAACGTATTAAATTCAGAAGCCGGAGAACTGAACAAGAATCAAGGTTTCCTTTTTGCCGATCGCTTAATACAATTGTCGAGCGACATCCCTGAATTAAGTTTTTACAATTAGGTACCTTATTGAATATTAGTTTTCATGTTAAATATTTTACATTTACATTCATTTTATAAATGTTAAATATTAATTTATTATTTTAACAATAATACATATACGATGAATTAGTTTCATTACAATATTCTTAACCTTATGTAGGTTAAGAATATTAAAGTAGTATTAAGTAATAAAAAGTTTTTTTTTTAATTTGGTCCCTGTAGTGTCACCTATCTTTAATGATGGCAGCATTTCCTCACTGTATTGCTATACTTATTGAGCGAGGAAAGCACCAGCTCTGGGATCACCGCTACTATCTACTCGATGCCAACATAAATCTTTAATTAGCGCCTGTGCATTAGTTTTGAAATAGTACAATAATATTTATATTACTAAGACTAAATAACCTAAAATGCATTTACAAAAATAAATAATTTGTTGAAATCAAATAATTTTGTACAAAAGGTAAATCCTTTAACACATTCCATTTTGATTAAATATTTCGTATATGGAAAAATATCTAACAGGATAACCATACTCATATTCGAACTTATCGATCCCTACTTCACGTTCAGCCCCGATGATTATTAATGAAGCAGTATAATTTCACTGAGATTGTAAGATCTCAACTTCAAAGGACATTCAAGTTCTTAACTGTAATATACACCTATAAGTATAGGATAAATGTCTAGCCAATTGAAACGTTTATAGTTACTAATTTATTTTATACTTTCTGCGTTTTAGTCTTTTATTATGTATATTAGATGAGTGGCGCGTGTTTTCCGAAAGACATGTTTTAACCTCGGTTGTGCCTTGTGTTGTAAATGCGCCTTTTTTTTTTTTTTTAACTCTTCATCTAATCAGCCTCTTGGCTTTTTAGACTTTTTTATTGTATTTAAATGCGCAATTAGGACACCCTTATACCGATAGACACTGTCCGTCATTTCCAAGAGGCCCGAAACTGTCGCTGAATCTCATTTTGTATGCACGTGTTTTTAAGTCTTTCGACAGTGGCAATAATCAAAGACTTATGTTCAGACTTCTCGTTTTTCGCGGCGCGCCCCGGTTTTTACCGAGGATTTAAAGGCTGATCAGAGCTGTACTACCTTGGTCTATAAAAAGTTATTGTAAACAGTGTAAGTGTAATTGCGCCATTGCATACTTACATACGGTAAAGGGAAACTTCCTGAATCAAGCATGAATATAATCAAAGACAGTCACATGTCTGAATAACAATTGCGCCATTGTTTGTAAGCACATATGTCGGACAGTGTCCTCACGCTGTCATGACTAAATTATATTGCCTAGTCGGCCAAGCAAGCACACTTTAGGAAATTAAAGTTAGTATACGGTTACCTAAAATTGTATTGCCAGCAATTCTTTTGGCAGTTATTTTTATCCAATCGTTGGGCACGTGGACTCCGCCGATCAGTTATCGATCCGCGCTATTTTAACCGCTCCACTGATTACCACTATGAATCTGATATTTGGATTCATGTTATGTAATAAAATTCGATTATATGCCATTAATCAAGGGAAAAATTACAGTCTATATATACCTAATCTACATATATATACCTATATCTATTCTATTGCGTGTTGTTCCCACTAGAATGTAATTGCGTGCTCCTATTTCACCATGCCTACTGCTGATAGAGGACAAATCTTTGTTTTTATTTTATTTTGTATAACATTATTAACTATTAATTACTTAAGATGTCATGTGGAACATGGTGTAATGGTTGCCTTACAAACAGTGTCTAAAATAAAGAACTTGGCGATTAAAGAGTGGCGGAGAGTTTATGCCAGTTCTTCTCGTCCGTTCTACGCCCTTGATTTGAAAACTGGCAGTTAATGTAAAATAGAAAAGCATTTAGCCGTCAATTAAGAAATACATTATACATTTAATATGTATTTCTTTATTGACGTTCATAAGTGTACTTACATGAAAAAATGAATAAATGATTTTGACTTTTGACTCTATACCTATACTATATACTTATGTTTGTACCTATCCCATCCCTATAGGCCCAAGTAATCAAATAGACTCTGCTTTTCCGGTAAACAGTTCGAGGACACAGAAAATGTAGCCTGAGTAAGATTTTGAAGAACTCAAAGGAATATAATTTATTTTCTGTCGTGACAACTTAATTACGGGAAAATAGATCTATTTTGACAGAATTCATTTTGTTAAAAAAATACGGGTCGAGTATCCAGGGAACTTATACGTATGTACTACATCAACGATTTTAATCTTATAAAGTATTTAAATAATATGAAAAGGATTGATAAAACTATTCTATTACTTTAAAATGTATGGGTACTCACATGCATTCATTTGTGACTAATATAATATCACACATCCATTACCTTCATACTTCTATGTTGCATGTAAATATTGAAATTGCAAATGTGTCCAATGATGACTCTCAGACTGACATGTTTATTTTGTTTCAATGAAACAAATCCTTCGTTACAAGCGCCATCGTCAATAGATCCAATTACAATTTCTTTTTTCACAAAGCTGTATGCTACGGCTTTAACAAATATTGCGCGCTAATTTTTTTTGCATTAGCCAGCGTCAAGTATAAGAGTTTTTATAATTCGTGCTTGCCTTTAGGCAAATTGACCGTGTCTCCATGTAGTTAACTCGCGGTACCGCACAGCCCTCCCAGAGGCCGAGAACAAATTTAAATTAAATTAAAACTTGCCCTCGAACCGGGAATCAAACCCGGTACCCCTCACCTAGCTGCCACTTAATAAGACCGCTAACCCTAACGTGCGCCAATTATGAACTTGTAGATAGTCCACAGACTTTGAACGAAAATGAAAACAAAAAGTGGTATGCCACACACACACACACATATTTTCTAAGTTTGAAAAAAGGGTTTGGCCTCTTAAAAATTATTTATTTTATATTATTTGTTAGTTTTTCCAGCAACCAAAAGAAAGTTCAATCATAGCCAATAGATAATAAACTTACAACCAACTGTCAAACGGAAATGACAAAGTTACACCGATGAGGGTTGCAACCTGTCTTTTACGTAGGAGTAGGTATACATATATATTAATATTACATTTGAATTTTCAATATCTTTAAATAAGAAATAAAATCGAAGCAGAACTGTACGAATTACGGTTTACGAAAAATTCATCTTCACACATTTACTTGGATATACATTTGTTCACAAATTCAATTTCAACACTATTCTATTATAATATTCAATATTATATTTTTTTAAATTGTGTTAGTACGAAATATGCTGGACTCAACAAGGAATGTAAGTCCTATTGAAAATGAAAGCGGTCACGTGACAAAACGCGTAATTCCCATACAAATTCGTTTGGCGGTAGTGGGTCATGCCTGTCGAAAAGTGATTTTGTCTCAAGCCCCACTCCCCAGTACATTTATTAATAAAATTAAAAGGTCAATGTTTTGACATGTGACATCCTTGATTTGCGGTCGTTCAACCTGGGCGGTGTGCCAACTAGGTTATGTTTAGGCGGATAATGTTATTCAGCATGCAAATATCGTCTGCCTGTCTGCAAAGCTCACTTCATAAGCCAGTAAGTACGTTGCGGTGAATATATTTTTTGGGAAATATAAACACTAGGCGTTTTTATAAAGAGGTTGAGAAACCGCCAGTAGTTCCAGCATCTTTTTTATGGAATAATTCACCGAGAGTTGAACTGCGTAATACTAAGTTTATACGTAAAGGGATCTCAATTGGGGTTTGAGAATGCTTAGCCTGTGGTGTATTTATAAAAGGACATTATTTTTTTAACCGGGGGATTTCGAGTAAAGTTTTCTGTATAATACCTTGTGCGATTATTCTCAAGCTAGTTATGTTACTAACACAGTAAGCTAACGTAAGTTTTTCGCTAACGCTCATTTATTTTCTAATCAGCAAAACTGTTCCATGAAAATTGGATTAAGTAACAAAAACAAAATTCACGGTATACTTCCGTAAAAATGCAACATTATGCAGTTGCTCGTGAGATTAGAGTCGGAAAGTTTTAATGAATCTATTGCGCTTTACTTTATTGTACATTATGCTTCAATAAATGAGTAAATCAGTGCAGTGTTGGCCTAGTGGCTTCAGCGTGCGACTCTCATCCCTGAGGTCGTAGGTTCGATCCGCGGCGCGCACCAATGGACTTTCTTTCTATCTATTTCTATTTCATTTGACATTCGCTCGA